CTACTACTACCTCTACTACCTCTACTACCTCTATTACTTCTATTGCCACTGCAACTGGCACTGGCACTGCAACCGCCGCCATTACCACCACAGCAATGCTGCCTCTGTTTGTTTCTACCACGATGACGGCGAGCGAGACGCTGTCGCTTCTGCTGTTTCAGACGAAGATCGGCAATCGTGAATGAGTGGTTATCTTGAGCTAGAGTTGCGGCTTCGGGTTATCATCGTCCCTTGTGCTGTTGCGATCTTTCGTTTTGTACCCCGTTACCATCCGAAGATGCTACGGCAAAGCTCTGACACCAATTGAGGTTTGGACGCTCTTTGCCAGGAGTATCCACCGGCAAAGTGTGGGCCTTGGAGCACTACATGTCTCCGGTAGGTAGGTAGGTAGGTAGGTAGGTAGGTAGGTAGGTAGGTCGGTCGGTCGGTCGGTCGGTCGGTAGGTAGGTAGGTAGGTAGGCAGGGCGGTAGGTCGGCAGGTCGGCAGGTCGGTAGGTCGGTAGGTCGGTAGGTGGGTAGGTGGGTCGGGCATGAAATAAATGACTTAAAACAAGTCCAGCTGCTGGTGCAAAAAAGCGCCTGAAGAAGTAGACTTATTCCATGAGGTTCCTTATTAGTGTAAACACAGTATTTTCAGGCACCAGAAAGCCTTCTTGTTGCGCTTCAACGTAATCCGTACTTCAAGTATAGTTATAATAGAACTCCGAATGTCAACGCCCTGAGAACAAGGGCATTTACTAACCAGGCTTCTAAGTCTTCTAAGTTTCATTAATGTAGGGGCCCAAATTTAGACAATTACCATTACTATTTTGGTGGTGCCTTGTTATAATTATAGTATAATGGGCCCCAAAACCCTATTCTTATTATTAAGGCCCCTGAAGTATTCGGACTTAATTTTCAATCTTGCCATCGCCTTGTCGAATGAATCTGGATCTCATACCCCCGGAGCACACAAGGGGATATATATCATAACTGTAGATCTTCCGGGCGCAGTAGATGAGTCTTCCCAGCTCAGGAAACCTTTGCCAAGCTTTTGCCAAGCTTTTCGTGTACATTTTTCTTCGGGCTTGGGGCTTAGAGCTTACACGTGTAAATTTTGGAATGGTTTTGAGGTTGCGGCTTCAGCTTGCATGGCTCTGGGTTTGGGCCTCTGGGTTTTGTAGTGTAGGGGCCTTGATGATTAGAATAGGGTTTTAGGGTATATTATGCTATAACTGTAGTGAGGAACCCCCGCTATAGTATAGGTAATTGTTAATGCCCCTACATTAGGTTGCATCAGGCCACTTGGGCAGCCTTCGCATCAGATTCTGTGCAGCTGGCGACCCAGTCCAGGTTTCTAAGGTTCTTCACCTGGTTTCTTAAATTTGGGTGCCTACTTCTATAATCGCTCTTATGCTGAGGATCTTACATCCTACTGCTCAACTTCTGTGTGCGTTGTTCGGCTTGTCGGATGGTTGCCAGTATGTAACAACATTAGGGCTATCGTGAGGCTTTACCACTGATAATACTGCTAAGCTTGATATGATTACAAGTGCTTGTGTTCATGCAGTATCTATATATATATATATATACACACGCATGCATATACTTACTTACGTACTGACTTACTTACTTACGTTCATTCATTCATACATATGTATGTGTATGTACATACATTCACACACTCTTGAGAACTGGCAGGCTCGGAGTGGCAGAACTCAGCGCTGCACGATGAAATTGTGGCCATGGCCTCAGAACTGCTCCACTTCCGTGCCTCAGAGTTCTGGTTTGGGGAATCGTTGTCGAGACATCCCTAAACCCACCGATGCCTACACTCTAAGCAGTATATCCCCCTGAAACAACACTAAACCGTGATGCCTAAAACCATCGAGCCTTTAAGCTGGACTGAACCCTTAAGCAACAGCATGGCCTGAGGATTGTGGTGACGAAGTTCCGCCGGCAGTGGACCTCGAAGACCTCGAGGTCACCGAGCAAGGAACGCTGGTACCGAGCCTGGGGGCCCAGCTCAAGAGCGCGATCGAACTTAAACCTTAAACCCTAAGCCAAGAGAGACATGCAGGACCTCATGGAGAACCGTACGAGCCGGATGGAAAGGGTCAAGGGTCGAACGAGGGTCGAAGTCGAGCAGCTGGTGTCCACAAAGGGGGCAAGTTCAAGAAGCGAGGATGACGACTGAGGGACATAGCAAACCTGGACAACCTTCCACAACGTGGATTCTAACGATCTTAACTGCTAGGTGGAAAAAGGTTCTCAAAAAAAACACTACCACCAACACCTTAAACCCTGAACCCTAAACCGGAAGGCTTCGGAGCTGATCCCGAAATCATCCTCAACACCGTGAGTTGAGTATTCACGAAAGCCTGAACCCCAATATAGGGGCTAATCAGAATAGGGTTCGGGGGCCCGTTATGCTATAATTGTGTTAAGGAGCCCCCCAGAATAGTAAAGTTAGTTATTTAGGCTCCTCATATTATCCCTGAGCCCGTGCCCCACACGCCCGAGGCCTGAAAGCCTTCGAAGCTCCGTGGCTCAGGTTGGAAGAAGGTGGAGGGCGAAGTGAAGCTGCTGTGGCATAGGCACGGGAATGCAAGAGGCTTTGGGGATGTCAGTTAAAGGAGTTACAGTAGGAGTTTGCAGGACTTAGGGTTGTGGGCTCCCGTTCTCCTCGGTAAGAATGTACTGGTAAGGTGTGAGGCTGAAAAAGGATTTCTTGTTTGGAACGATCTCCGGCAGCTTGAAAGCAACAGTCCTAAATAAACGGACCCCCACCCAAACCCTTAAACCCTGAAGCCCCAGACTCCAAACCGCGTTAGAACCCGAAGTCGCTACACGCTGAACTCTCCGCTGCTACCTCGACAACTTCAGAGGCTGCAGATACCGCTGGACCTGCGGACGAGCCTGAACGATGGCTGGGGCCCCATGATGCCCCATGTCTAGCCACGTCACCAGCCCTATGCAAACATACACCGGCACATACATACATGCGGCACGCTGCCCAGTCACCTAGTGTCTGCATCTTGGTTATGCAAGTTAGCGCGGGCTTAAGGTCTAAAGGCACGGTGGGTGAGTGTGTGTGTGTGTGTCAGAGAGAGGCTGAGAAAGCTTGAATAGTGACCAATACTATCTTGGGGTGCCTTATAGAGGTATATCATAGTCTCGTATATAAGTAATAACAATATAGTTTGAGTATAATATACACCAGAACCCTGATTAATAACAATATAGTTTGAGTATAATATACACCAAAACCCTGTTCTAGTCATTAAGGCCCCTATACTAGGGCCTCGAGCTCCAGGTTTCCGGTCAGGATGACGGGTTTCGGGGCAAAGACACTTTGAAGGTCGTAGGAAGGCTTGAGACGGTTTAGGGTTTAGGGTT